TATACTTATTTAAGTAATAATCCTGTTCTACCTATGTCCATCGTTGGAGCAAGAATTATACCTGGGAGTGAATTTATGGCAGGAGTTTGAGATCGTCACAGAATTGTTTGGAGTAGACGAAGTGGAAATAGTAAGATAACCATGAACCATGAACAGCATGAATTGAGTGACGCGGAGAGGAAACACCTCGAGAGAGTCCAAAAATATTTCCGTCAGCGAAATCAGCGATTTCTCGGGATGGCAGGATGGTACCGAAGATTCATACGGAACTTCGCAGAATTGGCGGCGCCGCTGACGGATACTCTGAGAAAGGGAAAATTTGTCATGACAGAGGAGGCAGAGAGGTCGGTGAAAATTCTGAAGGAGGCATAGACTACAGCGCCAGTCTTAATACATCCCGATTTTAAAAGGATGTTTTTTTCTGTTTTAGAAAGCGGAAGAAGAGGGTGAGCGTCCCATAGCCTTCTTTTCCCAGAAACTTAACCCAGCGCAGCGCAACTACAGCGTAACGGAGAAGAAGTGTTTGGCAGCCGTATTAGCAGTTGAACGGCCGTATATCGAACTGATGCCATGTTAGCTGCTCACTGATCATTCGAGCCTGCAATGGATCATGTCCGTGAAGAACCTGTCCGGAAAGTTAGCTAGGTGGTCGTTCAAGCTACAACCGTAGCAAATGGCAATCGAGCACTGCAACGGACCGTGAATTTGGTGACAGACACGTTATCCAGGAGGAGGAGCCGGAAGAAGACTGGATGCTCGGATTCCAAACAACCGAATTTGAATCACCAGAATACGTGGAGTTGAGGCAGGTGCTCGAGACGGGGAAAGAGATGCTCATCGTTTCATCGTTTGAGGCACCGTTTTTACTGGACGGGAATGGTAGCTCAGGTCCGGGCTTTTGTAAGGGACTGTCGAACGTGGAAGGTCAAAGCCTACGAATAGCCCACGAGGCCATTCCAAAAGCTCTATATAGACTTACTAGGGAAGTATCCGAGGTTGCGTAAAGGCCTATATATTTATTGTGGTGGAGCCCATTTCGAAATATGTCTTCCAGAAGGCTATGAAGGAAGCAACGACGGCAGAGGTGGTGAAGTTCCTGGTGGGAGAGGTATATTACAATTTTGGAGTTCCCGAGACCATCCATTCAGACAATGGGAAGCAATTCGTGACAAAACGATTTCAGGAGATGGCGGAAAAATTCCACATCCACCATATCGCTAGAAAGCGTAAAATGGTAGTGTGGCTGTTGTGGCCAATAATATAATCGGACTAGGTGATGCCTAGTCCTAATCGGACAAGGTAGGCCCCAATGATGCCACCTAGGGATAAACAGGGAAATTTGGGATTTGGAGGGCTGTTGACGGTTGTTGGCGGTTCGAGTATGGAATTACGGGCCTATCCGAATGACCGTTCCGGGGCACAGGAGAGCTGGGCAAGAATAGAGAGAATGCGAAAGTCAAATGTGTCGGGCGTAACAATATAAGCCAGATATATATTTATGTAAATATAAAGGAAAAAAGAAAAACTTAACATCCGAACGAACGGATATAAGCATTTCTTCTTTTCGTTTATTCCGGGGTTAATAAAATCTCAGGCCAGGCAAGCCGGCATTTTCTTTTTGGAGCCTATGGTTCTTCCATTTTATTTTTTTTGGGACCATAAGCTGCTCAGGCGTGGCCCGCCATTGGCCAAAAATCTAAAAAAAAGACCCGCAATCCTGAACGAGGACATCCCTTTACAAAATACCACGTATCCGTATGTATATAGAAAACAGAAGAAATCCCGCCATCGGATCCCGGATTTTCAGATTAATATTTATTTTATTGTGTATTTGTTTGTGGTTTTTATTTGTTTTTTGTTTTTATTTGTTACATTTTTTTTTAGTTTCGTTTATATTTATTGTATTGTATTTAAAGGGTAATATTTATGGATATTTTCTTTGTTTACATGATGTAAATTTACAAAAAAAAAAGGAAACGAAAATGAAAAAAATTGTGAGTTCCGGTAGCAGCAGTGAAAGCTACAAGATAGGCCGTAATTTCCCAATATATGATGGTTGGTTTTAACAAAAAGTAAATGCGTAAAGAGTAAAGATATACGGCGGGGGCATGAGTAAGGAATAATAGGGAACTAAAGGGGCGTCGAGTGTACGAGATAAAGACGCCCGCGAGAAAAGGCCAGGGCTCCGCTAAGAATGGGAGGGAAGGCCACAAGGCTCGAAATCAGGCGGGGTATTAGGTTCTGTGATTTAATAGGGTAAGGATAAATCTTACATACGTGTTAGAAATAAAAACTTGAATTTGAATGTTGTGGGAGTTTCAATATTGTAAAATAGATTACAATGGATTTTTGTGTTTATATAAAATATATTTATTGTTAGCGGTCTAATGGGGAGGGTCAGGGGAGCCACGGCCCTGGTTGAGCTAGCCGGAGCCAGACCCATGCGGATAGACGGACCGTAGGACCCGAAAATGGTCATAATAGTATTGGTGATTTTTTGCCGTATGCAGAGCTTTGGCACCCCTGATGTAGAGCATTGGTGAGCAAACTCTTATTTTCCATAGCACGCATGCATAAGGTCGTTAATTCTAAAATTATTCGGTTAGCGAATATGTATGAAAAAACTGTTGCATGAACATTATCAAACGCGGAAACACCTGGAAACATAACCTGCCTTTTTCTATGGTGGTGGTGGGCGTATTTACACAGGCGCCCATACATAGAAAGTTTTTTTTGATGGATTCCAGTTTTTCTGTACTCAATCCTCCACGCTGTAGTGACTCCCTTAATCCCTTATAATGTAAGTTTGAAATTTGAGTATTTCGAGCATTAAGAAAAAAACTTCATTATACCCTTGCAGAGGGTATTATAATTTTGGTCAAAAGTGTGCAACGCAGTGAAGGAGACATCTCCGACCCTATAAAGTATATATATTCTTGATCAGGATCACCTCCTGAGTTGATATGAGCATGTCCGTCTGTCCGTCTGTCCGTCTGTCTGTCCGTCTGTCTGTCCGTCTGTCTGTTTCTACGCGAACTAGTCTCTCAGTTTTAAAGCTATCGTCTTGAAACTTTGCACACACCCTTCTTTCCTTTGCACGCAGTATATAAGTCGGAACGGCCCGGATCGGCCGACTATATCCTATAGCTGTCATATAACTGATTGATCGGAAATGGTATAACTTTTGTGTTTTTAGAGTTATATCCTATAGCTGCCATATAACTGAACGATCGGAAATGACCCAACTTTCGTGTTTTTGAAGATAGAAAGCTGGAATTTAATACAGATCCTATTTTTAATCAGTTTATCCAACCTACCAAATTTCATTAGGATCGGCCGACTATATCTCATAGCTGCCATATAACTGAACGATCGTAAATGGTATTTGGTAGAAATATCAACTTTCGTATTTTCGAAGATAGAAGTTTGGGACTTTTTTTAGATTTTGTATTGTAATAAATTGGATTATATATTCCTATTCAGATAAGGATCGGCCAACTATATCCGATGTTTGCGATATATATCCGGTTTTAACTGCAAGGGTATATAAACTTCGGCTCCGCCCGAAGTTAGCTTTCCTTTCTTGTTTTAATTTTATTTTAAAAACATTTGGATGTGTGTGGCAACAAATATTTTCATGCCAATTTTATGGATGGAAATTGCGTCAATTGGAACAAAAACCATGTTTAAAATATATTGTATTTAGGTAAATTTAAAAACAAGATAACGATAATATAAAAACTATTTAAATCAGTTGGTTTCAAAATTGTCAATTTTTGAAATCTATTTGTCCGTAGGACCGAAGTAAATAATTTTAAACTATAAGCTTACACTGCACAGTGGTCGGTTTCATAGGCCAAAAATAAAAATTAAAAGTTTGAAATTTGCCGCTTTAATTTTATGAACTGGTTCGTAATAGAAAAATGAATAGAACGACAAAAGAATTTTTTCATTCCATCGTTCCCACGCGCTACGAATTGCGAGAGAAAAGAGACAATAAGAACACGTGGAAATCGCAGCGCACGCAGCTTAAAATTTTGCTTTTTGGAAGATCTTAAAAACCAGATTAAATCGCGTTTAATCGCCATAAAGTGTAATGAATTACCAAAAGCAAGGTATGCGCTGTGTATTTATGTTATTTGTATAAAATAATATGTTGCATTATTGTTTTAAAATAATTGTTTTACCAGTGACCTTTCGAGTGATGTGTTTTTCTTTATATGTTGCTTTCAGTTGGACAAAAAGTTTTTACGCGTGCGTACGCGTGAAACAAAACTTGATTGTTAATATTATTTAATGAATGCTTCATCTATGTTTTCAATTTCAGCTGCCACCTTTTGCCCCTCTTAGTGCAATGCGATTTTTTGTGAAGCCTTGCTTGTCATCAAGTTGGGTCATTTCCGATCGTTCAGTTATATGGCAGCTATAAGATATAGTCGGCCGATGAAATTTGGTATGTCGTATTACTTTGCCAAGAATAGCATTCACACAAAATTGGAACTCTCTTACTCTAGAAACACCGAAGTTATAGCATTTCCGATCAATCAGTTATATGGCAGCTGTAGGATATAGTCGGCTGATCCTTATGAAATTTGGTAAGTCGTATTATTTTGTCAAATATAGCATTCGTACAACTCTCTACTGAACTGAACTCTCTAACTGTAAAAACACCAAAGTTAGAGCATTTCCGATCAATCAGTTTAATGGCAGCTATATTATATAGTTGCCCGATCTGGCTGATTTTAACATATTATCTTAGAATAAGAATAAAAATATTTTGTGCCAAGTTTCAAGTCCCTACCTTGACTAGAAGTATTTTTGGCCGCTCTTTTCATACAAGCCGGACCACTGTGCACTGGAATGAATAACGTTTTCGCTGTCAACTTTTTTTTAATCTGAGTACTAGACTTTTCTAAAAATTATGAGCACCTACTGTAAATTGGGTATAAAAAAAATTAAACAGACAGATCTTAACGCGTTTAACAGCACTGCTTATCCAATAACAGCACTGTAATTCACACATGTAAATATAGCTTATTTTGTTTTTTCTCTTATTTGTTTTATCAGTGCTTTATCATTTAATATTTGAAAAATACGGAATTTCGATATTAACATTGTTCTGAAATTGCTGAAAATCCTCTTAAAAAATTTACTCAAATAGTAAGATTCATTTTTAATTTTGTATTCTTAGTGTGCTAAGGTTACGGATTAAACATACATAAGTTATTGTAAAATGTAAATATATACGTAGGTTTTCACAGGAATTTGGTTTTACTATATACATAAAAATTTATGAGTAACTCAACATATTTGTTTTTTTTTCTTTTTCATGTCGCAAGGTGATTACTTTCATGTGAAGTAAATGCAGAACTATTCTTAAAGAAAAGTTCAAAACAAAAAATCCTATGTACACATTCAACAAGTTTCAGACATGTATATGTGTGTATAATTTTGTATGTACTGTGTGTAAATAATATTGCGTTCATATGTATGCATATACATATTAAGTGACCATGTATCCCAGTTAAAAACATTCATAATTTTTGCAAATGCATTAAAATATTTTAAAATAATAAATATACATATGTATATATTGTAGTTAAGATGATAGTTAGGTTTACAAAAGCATAACTACCATATGGGGGTTGTAGGTTAATGATTAGCTTATTTTAACAGTATATTCTTTGATTTTATTTTTTATTTTAAATTTCACAAATGCATTTTTTTTAGTAAGTTAATAAAATTGTACCTTCTCCGTTAGAGACTAACAATAAGTTACCAAATCTTGAATCGACATAAATTCAACCGAACTAATTCTCGGAGGCGGTTCCTTTTTAGGTTTTAGTTAATCCTTATAGATTTTAGCAATCTCCGTGGCTGAAACACCCTGCAGACCGTAGTCCGCCTGTCGCTGTTATCAAATTAACACTGGTTTTTGTGGTAGGGTGCACGCATTTCTTTCGTTAAGTGCGTGAATGATTTGTTTGGTCTTTCTCTTTTTTGATTTCCTGATGAGTTCCTGATTGAACTCTTATTTTCCATAGCACCCGTGCATAGGGTCGGAAATTCTGCCGCAGCGTTGCCAGCACACTGGTGTGATCACGCTCAAATTTTTTTTAGAAGCTCTCTAATTTGTCACATTTGCCTCATTTTGCCTGACTTGACAGCCTAAACTTAAAAAAAAAAACTTTTTCGTTGAGAAAAATTTTTCAGAAATTTGGTTTGAACAAGTTTTTTTTATTTCTATTTATTATAATTTTTGTTCGCGGTCTTTAAGATTTTTAGAAATGGCTCGTGCACCAAATGGTGGAATAGCTAGAATTTCCGTATTCATCATAAAGCTTAGAGGCCCAGACGACCGAGGAGCGCTCGAGAAACGATTTATGATAAATTTTTTGTGGATATATGGTTGGCAAATTTGAGTTTTATATCTAATACAACACCGAGAGCATTAACCTGAGTAAATTTTTCTAAGGCAATCCCATAGAGAAAATACTTCACTTGAAGAGGACAAGAAAGATAAAAAGACATATTTTTTCATTTTGATCCATTAAGTATTAAATCATTGTATTAAGTATTAAACATCATTTTTGAAAATTTTCGAGATCGGACTAAAGATTGCATTGGACAGAAGCGGGTTTGTATTGGAGAGAAAGCTTAACATCAGCTGCATACATGAGAACTAGAGAGTTCGTTAATGTTGGGGACAAGTCGTTAAAAAAAAGAGCAAACAGTAACGGGCCAAGATGAGTTCCTTGCGGGACCTCAGATGTAGACCCCCGCACCAAGCGGGAATGTACATTTTTAAATATCTTTGGAATTGCCGACAAATTTAGAGATGCCTCTGTAGTTGGCAGTATCGGACTTTTTCCCTTTTTTATATAAGGGAATTATAAAAGATTCCTTTCACTTAAGGGAAAAAATCGAGGCACAGAGCCCTGGCACAGTATTTAGCAAACAGCCTGGTACTCCATCGGGCCCTGACGGATAAACGAGATTGATCCTTAGAGGATCTGACGATAAGCTATTCTCGAAGAAAGACGGACAGAAAATGAGATTTGCTGATTGAATGTTGTATGCGTAAGGCTGATCTATCGTTTTAGGCGGAGAAAAAATTGTTTGAAAACATTTTGAGAATAGATCGCCAATGGCCTGATCAGAGGTCACTGATAAATGAAGCGGACTTCTTGTCCTCCTTGTGAACCAAGGAAGATTTGTTGAAGCGGACGGATATTTCCATGGCTCACATAAGTCAAAATACATTTCAGATAGTAGTAAAGCAGTGGGGGGCAAAACTAACACATGTTTAAAATTTGAGTGTGTGCGTAGCAGAGAAAAACAATGAGAGCATAGGAATTCACTAAGCGAAAAAAACGTATTTTTTTATTTCATTTTTCGTTAATTCAAAAGTTGAAATGGGCACTAAACTTGAGTATTTTATTCAAAAAAAAGCTTTTCTAGCAACATTTCTTAAACAAATGAAAAACTAGGCTTCCCTATCTATATTCTCAATGACGAAAACTTCCAAAACCCAATTTCTGAACAAAATTTTTCTCAGTAGAAACATTTTGATTTTTAAGTCTAGTGCTCTGACGGCGAAAATCCGCTGTAACACGCTACAGCGTCCGAACTCCATATAAAAAAACGGTGTGAAAAAAGGAAGAAGAAATTTGTGCCTCCTAGATTTTGCCGGTACTCTAAAGCATAGTACTGAGTTGACGAAAATCCGCTGTCCAACGAGTGACAGCTGTCAAACTCCATATAAAAAAACGGTGTAAAAAAAGGAAGAAGAAATTTTTGCCTTCTAGATTTTGCGGGTACTGAGTTGACGAAAATTTTTGTTATCAATTTTAATGGTGTTGCCGCATCAAAAAAAATAAACAGCTGATCTCGGGGAGTTAAAAGAAATATTTGAATTTATTTCTATAGGTGTGACATGGAGGGTCAATTGATCAAACAAAAAAATAGTTGGTCCGAAAAATTTTCGACGCGCCAGGACAAATTAAAATTAATTTCTGCGGTCAATTATTATTGACCCCATTGATATATCCACAACAATCCAATTTCTGAAATCTATTAACCTCTATAATAACATTTAAATTTAATTCGAATGCACATACAAACCTAGATTAAGGGGGGACATCTGAGTAACAGACCAAAAAAAAAGAGGATGTTCTGGAATTTTTTTTGGCCAAATCAAAACAGCTAATCGAAAATTTGTAAATGGGGTTTTATTATATTATATTTAAACTACACAATAAAATTTGTTTTTAATAAATCGAAAACAAAATGGCGGCCCTGCAGCCCTTATTCGTATGCCCTATTTTTTTAAAGGGGGTCCATGGCCGAACACCTAACGTCCTTAATTTTTGATCTAGAACAAAAAATCAAGTTTGGTTAGTATCTGTATCTCAACGGCTATCGACACACGTAGGATTTTTTCGATATATTGATTTTTTGCAAAATAGTGAGTGATTAAACAAAATTTTCAATTTTCACTAACAAAAAACGTCACAAAATTGTTGATAAAAAAAAAAGTAAGCAAAATAAAAATCCTACGTGTGTCGATAGACATAGATATTCTGAGTATACTGTCAAAATTTTAGATCGATAGGTTAAGAGTTGTTCGAGTTATGTGTTCGGCCAACTCAAAAAAATTGGTTTCGAGAAAAACGCGTTTAAAGTTTTAAGTACTGTGGGATATACCTGTGAGGCATCGCCGCAGAATGAAAAATTTCGACACTTAGACACTTTTGCCGGACTCTATCTTTTGATATGTCATTTTTAAGACCCTAAAGAATTTTTTAAGCGAAAAAAAAAAAATTTAGATTTTTTCAAAATTCTACTCAGATGTCCCCCCTTAAGTACACATATATGTACATATACATCTGTATTTAAGTCAAATGTCACATAGAGTTTAAGCAGAAGGCCTTTGTAGCTATTGCTTAATACAAACAAAAATTACCCGCACTTTATAATTGCTGGCAATTTCGTTATAATAATAATAATAATAATAATAAAAAAAAAAAATTTATATAATTTGATATTTTTTCACTAAATTGTAAATTTTTATCGGATTGAGCTAAAACTTTAAAACGACATTTACATATATATGGGTAATTCTCAAGAAAGGTCAATTAGTCATAACAAATTTCTAAATATTTCAATGCAAATTCGAACGTTCTATCGTAAACTTTTCCGCAGCATATTTTCTTTTTATACATTTTTTCTCAAAGAGATTCATAATGCATTGATATTCGATATTTACTCGTAGAGTACAAGGGTATGAAAGTATGTCGTGTTTAACGTAAGCATCTTTCATTATGACTCAATCTCACGGCCTCCTTGGGTATGGGATATAAAACGATGCGTCAATCAGCGCCCCTTTGTAAGCATGTTCCGCCGGAACCGACACTCAAGCAAGTCTGTTCTAGTCATGGCTTATATCCTCAGTTTATGATGGAGGCCTATCTAAACCTCTTCCGGTCTGTGGGATACCGGCACCCTGTTGTACGGGTCAAACTTCACGTCGAACCCAAAGGCTCTACCCGCATTTAGGTATTAAACCACAACCACGTACCTTCTTAAGGGGCCTCAACCATAGCCGGAACAAGTTCCGTGGGCTCTAGCTCCTGTGGTACCAGAAATTATCACAGCCTCCGGTCAGGCAAGGACACTTCCAATTTTGACTCCAGAACAGTCACGGATTAGTGACCCCTGATAAAGTATAACATAGCTGCTTAAAATAGTATTATGAAACGGCCAAAGCCAAGTCATAAGGGTACAAGGGTATATTGGAGTCTTGTGAATGTGTGTAACATAGAGAAGTAATCATCTCCGAGAAGTAATCACCAAAAAATATATATGTTTATTTTTGGCTTGGCATGATTTGCCATGGAGACTCCTGCATTGCCCACGCAGCTCGAGTTTGTTTCAAGTTCTACCGGCCCTACAAATTGCGAAACTCTGGTTTTTGAAAATCTTTTGATGCCAATACTTAGTTTCTATACTTAATTTGTATCTTAAAAAGGAATTTCAATCAAATCGGACAATTTTTAGAGGAGTTATAGACTCTCATTATGCTTCCCTACAGAATCGGTAGTAGTGACGTAGTGGGTAGTAAAAGGTCTTCGGTTGCATACCATTAAGTTTGAGTTAGT